GAACATACCGCATTTCTGTACAGATAGTCGCCAGAAAATTCTCTATAGAATTGTTAGGAAGTCGGCCGGTTTTGGCCCAGATTCCTTTTATTAGCAAAATTTTCGGATTCCTCTCAAAAAGCCGTCATATCCATAGTTACCTATGTATATCCGTTCAGGCCATTTCCGAACTTTAACGCCAATATTTCCAAACTCCTGGTATATGTTGGGCCCTTTCCCAAGAAAGTTTTTCCCTAGCTTAGTCAATTTAACTGATTGCTCATAAGTCAATTTAAATCCCCAATGTGAGTTGTTAAAAATCAGGCTGTTTTACCAAAGAAAGGATGGAGTCCTAAGTACCTTTAAGTGTCATTAATGCCTTGTCCCCCATGTCGCTAATTGATAATATTCTCGGTAGTATAAATAAGAATTTCATGTCATTAACATCATTACGATTTCAGTAATTGTGCCGAAATTGGAGTATAGAGCTGTCTGAACATCTGAAGAGATTTATATGGGGAGTTTGGACCTTCATTTGCCACCATCAAAAGTTGGAGCCGAAAATTCAAGCATGGCTGGGAGTCGCTGGAAGACGATCCCAGGTCAGGGCGTCCAAGGCGTTTTTTGGATTGCGAAGGTATTCTGGTCATCGACTATCTTCCTAAAAATACTAAATAAAATGAACGGATGCTATTATGCCAAGTTGTTGATAAAAGTGCGTCAAGTGGTAGTCGAGAAATGGAAAAAAAACCTCCGAGGACGAATATTTTCTGGTGTAGAAGAAATGGCGGCGTCAGGGGAAGAGCATTTGAAAGACAAAAACGGCGAATATTTTTTCACTGGGCTAAAAGCCCTTTATTATAAATTTAAGAAGTTCATTGAAGTAGAGGCAGATTATGTAGAAAAATAAAATTTTTATACATTCCTATCAGCTAGTTTCATTCCTTCGGCTCGAAACTTTTCAGCCTTTCAGTAGTAAAGTAGTAGGGAATCAAAAGACTCATAAAACAACAAAAATCTTTAAACTCACAAAACTAGTTGCTAAAAGATAACAAATTTATTATTAAGGTTAAAAGGCATGCACGTGATTGTTTATACATACATACATAGTCAGGGCCAATCTCTATGCGTTTACAAATAAATTGATGTGAAGACAGAGCACTGCACTCAATGAATGATAGACAATACAAAGGTATTGCACAATTCCTCAATCAATAAAATGCATTGAAATGTTGAATGATTGCATCAATTGTATGTATGTACATGTATCTAAATAAAGTACATTGCCACAAATACATACAAACAAATGTATAATTTAACAAACAAGAGTATTCTTAATGAATCCAAGTTGTGTATTTTTGTCCATACGGGTATTGTACATACATACCTAGTACAAATACATTAGGGCGAATTTAGTTTTTTATAAATAAAATTCATTTTAAATTTTTTTTTAATTCACCTCAGATGATAGAAGAGTTTAAGTGTAGAAGGTATGCATAAAAATAGTTCAAAACTTTATCAGCGCAATCAAAATAATGAGGTTTTTGAAGGTATTTTCAAATCTTAATATTTTTCCGAAATATTTTGGCGGAATTCTTAAAAGCTACGAAATTTTATAATTCCGGTGAACATATCTACAGCTACATACAGTGACAAACAAAAGTATTGGCACAGTGAATTTTTCACAATATACGCAAAGTTTTTTATTTAAATTTATTTTCAAATTTTTTTTTTATAAACATGTAGTTTATTCTACACCAAAACACATAACAATAAAATCTCTAAACTGTGTGCAAAACTCAGGAAAATTCAATTAATTTTCATACAATTTTTAAGTATTCAGTTTTATAGCTCATTCAATTTTAGTACAACAAAGTGCAAGTTTTGGCATTTTTTCAGGCAGGTTCTTCCATACACAGTATGTGCGACAATTATTTTCATGTATGAATAAAATTAGCAATACCTTCCACTAAAAAACTTGCCAAAAATCTAGCAACTTCAAGCATTAGTTTTCTTGAGGAACCGAACTAATAGCTTTACTTGTAGGCATCGGAAAAACGTTTTAACTAATCTCATTTTAAAGAATGACAATTCTAAGGAAAATAGTGAAAAATAAAACAGTCGCTTATTGAACGATAAATCGACATTCACAATACTATGGAAAAGCAATAAACGAGTAATAGTCGATTACCTACTAACCGTCGACACTCGCAGTAGGGCTGTTTATGTTAGTAAAGGTGCATTTGGAAATCTTGTACAAGATTTTGGATGGAGAACCCACGTATGTTGCGCACTCACAAAGATAATGTTTCTTACGGTTGTACGGAAAGTCGGATTTGGCAGCATGTACGCCAAAGGGTCAATGTCTCGTCATCGTGGCTGTTTACCTGATTATATCTCTCCGCGACCTCAATAGAAGTTTTTCACTCGACAACAACCTCGAGTCGCCACGGGATGCTTGCTAAGAGCCGACAGGATCAGGCACTGAGTAGGCCACTTATAGTTAGAGGTCGGTCAATTACGGCAGATGTTCTAACCAAATAAAAATTAATTTAGGCAATAGGATTCTTTAAGCTTTACAAGACGGCGGGTCCAGATGGCTTTTCACCGATTCAGCTACAGCAATCATTGGAGCTAATCTGAAATTGATTGTATACTATTTTAAAGGGAGCTCTTATTATCAATTAGATTTGGGAGATCTGGCAAAGTTCAAGGGCTTGTTTCATCCCCATACCGGGAAGAACTACCCGTACTAAGCCCAAGTCTATCATCATTCCAGCTCAAGATTATGGAGCGGCTGATAGAATCCTTTTCAGGGAATCGGTTTCAAACAAAATTATGCCATCTCAACATGTCTATATGAAAGGGAAGTCCACTGAAACTGCGCTGCACGAAATCATGTCGCGCATTTTGAAAAATCGTTAGCGATCAAGGTATGTACATATATGGCCGCATTGATAGCGTTCCTAGATATCGAGGGTGCCTTCAACAATATCCTGCTAGTCTCACCACTTGCAGCAAAACGAATCGTATGTGGCCGAAATGGAACGAGAAACCGTCGAAAGGTCTGCTCATGGCGGGCAGACGAGACTTTTCCACAGGCATGGGACTGCTGAACGGCCATGTTACCAACGGGAGGGACGCGGACAGATTCCCCCACACGAATTCTGCAGAAGCTGCAGAAATGAGCTGCGGCACTTGTTATGCGAATACACCGTACACCACGTAAGTTTATGGGCTAAGAATTTTTCGAGGGTTTAACCGAACGAGCCATTGTAGAAATACGGCAGCTTGTAGGTTTCGCAAACTGCACATGATGGTTCTCTAGGTTCTCCTAGGGTTCTCACGACACGCGTGGTAACACAGTGAACCCACAATTAAGGGCCAAGGTGAGCTGGTGGCCTCACTGGCAGCCGTTTTAACTAACCTAACCTACATAAGTATTTAATACTTTATACTGAATTTTAATTAAAAAATTATAAAATTACAAATTTTTTAGTAACTAATCAACTACTGACAACACATATACGCGAAGGACAAAGTTAGCTATTTAGTCTCAAAATATTATTACGAATTCTTGATTTTTTTAGTAATGACCGTTTATTATTTTAAGCATAAATGTATTTGTAACAAACTTAATGAACTCGTATGTACATAAATATATCTATTTATACTATATAGTAGACAATTATAACATAAGTTAGTATTTATGGAAATAAAACAAAAAAAGTCGTCGAGTATTAAATTACATTCACATACATACATATTTCAATTTTACCTACTGTGTTGAAAGTCATTGTACTTACTAAAAACTCTACGAACTATAGAATTTCTACAAGTACTTAATTTTATGAACAGAAAACTGGAAATGCGTCAAAATTTGAGAACCGTAAACTGAAATTTTTATGAATAATACTTTGGAGTTTCGAGTTTTATAGTGGGCGCATAGACTAAAACACCGTGCGACTAAAACAAAAAATATTAAAACACAGGAATCAATCAATATACTCACGAAATTATGTGCAATTTTTTTTTTAAATAGCTTTGAAATTTCAAGGGAAAAAGCAAATTCTGAAGAAGGTAAAAAAGTAAAGTTTTTTTTGGTTTGCAAGGGCGAATAGGTTTTGAAAATGGCCTTTTGATTAATTAAATTTTTTTAAGCTAATAAAATAAGGATGAAATTCGCGGAAATACAATTTTTTCAAAAATAATAACGGCAAATTTTCAAGGATATCCAAGGATACATTTTTTAAAAGACATTTTCAATATACATATGTACATATATGCGTCCTTATAGACAAAAAAATATGTTTTTTTATATCTATAGATTTTTTTTTGGAATTTGATACATATGTATATTTCTATTCTACATTGCACTGAACGTTTTGAATAATATTTTGATTTTTTCTTCGCAGTCCCTTAAAAAAGTCCTGACGTCAGAGAGTAAAAATTTGTGTAAAATCGACTATCGCACGGTGAAATCTGTTTTCGTATTTATAAACATAAATTTTATAATTTCCTAATTATTTTAAAATTGCTTAATATTTTTTAAGTTGCTTGTAGAAATCAAGCCTAAGTCCAAGCCCAGAGACACTTTTTGCTCTTTGTGCTAACTTTCTTTCGATTCTAGCACTTTTTAATAAAGTCATCTAAGGAAATATTGTTTTATAAAATATTTAAAAACTGCTTAAAGTTTGATGAATTGGCGTTTAAGCTATAAAAGTCGGACTAAATATATATTTATTTTCACTTAGACAATATTTCTTCCAAACATACTTTTATTTGTTTTTTGTAATTATTTTCATGCTTAAAAAAATATTTTTGAACAAGTTTAATTACTATAGCATAAATTGTTTTAAAGACTAACATGTTATCAATCACTCTACACTAAAATCTTTTACTATTCGTACAACGAACTAAAAAATACATATGCTACAACAGCAACGACTACTCCATCTAGCTAAACACAAAATAAATGCCTACAATTTTTCAAAATACTACTTCACCTCATCGCCCTTCGCTCAGTACAATCCCGATGGCGTATCGGTCACCTTTGAACCATGCGCGCAAGAGCGCGTGCGCGTCGCCAACGCCGCACCGTTACAAATCGTCGGCTGCGCCCCCTGTGTCGATGCGCTTTGCTGCACCAACACTGTCACATTGTTGACGCCACTCCCAGTGATGCCGCCACCGCCGCCGCTGTTGCTGCTGCTTAAACGCATCGCCGGATTGCTGCCAAAATATATCTGCTGATTGCTACGCGATTTCTCGCGCACCACGTGATGCACCGCTACCGTTGGTGGCGTGCCGCCTTCTAGCAGCGACTCGTGACTGCATGAAGCAAAAGCCGCTTCCAAACGCTCCACATTTTTGGTGACACGACGCGCTTGCAATGCGGCCGTCACATCGGGTTTAGGGTACTTTTGCGGCGTATTCATGCCAGTCATAAAGAAGACGCCATTGAAGTGTTGCGCTGGCGCTTGCGGTTTCTTAGCTGCCAGGGGTGGCGGTGGTGGTGGCGCGGCCGCTGACATGCTCTGACGCTTGCTAACGCAGTTGTTGGCATTTCCACCATTGCCAGCGTGCTGGTTATTGTGGTGCTGATGCGAGTGCTGATGTTGGTGTGGATGCTGATGTGGATGCGGATGCGGTGGTTTTTGATGCTGGTTGTTGCTTGCCTCGCGAAACGCTTTCATTGTCGGATCATCGTCACTGTGGCGCGCATTCATTATAACATCCAGCAGTTCGCGCGTCGTGCTGGCATTGTACGCGGTGGCAGTGGTGTTCGCTTCCGGTATATCCGGCGATTCGATGCTGTATGGCTTGTCCATGTCGGTGTGTGGCTCATAGTCAGCCTCGTCGAAAAAAGTTTGCATTGCTGTGACGCGTTCCACAGCAATAGCGTCGCCATGATTTTGTAGCATTAACATGCCATACTCGGAGCCGTCCAACTCGGAGCCATCTGCTTGCGAGACGAGATGTGCAAGCGAACGCGATTTACGTGGCGGCTGTGGCACTATATTAACCGGTACAATATCCTTTTCCTTGGCGGTCACGGTCTGGGTCAGCTGTTGCCTGAGTTGGTGTTGTTGTCGCTGTTGTGTAGATATTTGTTTCTCTGCCTCGCTCACTACATGATCCAGCTCTTGCATGGCATCCTCAATGGTGGTGGCAGTACCGGTGGCAGCACCACTATCGCCGGTTGAATTTTCCGGTGATTTGGATTTGTTTTTGTGGTGTTGCTTACCGGCGGCGCTTGACTTCTGTGGCAACACCAAAATGGGTACGGGACTTAGTGAGGGACCCGTTTCCGAGCTGCTGATACCCTCATCCTCATGCTCACTCTCATTCTTGCCAGGTGGCACATGACGAGGCAGTGCAACGGGTTGTTTGTCCAAAGACTTAAAGGTGTTCTCATTCTGTGCGCCTTGCAGACGGAAGATTTCGCGCTGCAACTCGGCGCAACGCTCCTGCAGACGCCGTTCCATGGATGTGAGTACGGCTTTCTCTTCGTGAAGGATCTGTAAGGAGTTTGAAAATATAGAGAGGAATGAGAAAAATGGTGATAATTTGTAGGGTCTCACCTGCACTCGGCGTTCCAAAATGACCATCTGACTGCGTACGCGATCGGCTTCTCGCGCCTGCGTAATCATTTTATCCACATCCACATAGAGCTCGTGAAAGCGTTTCATTTCATTGCGTAAATTTTCATGCCAAGGTGAAGCCGGAGAAATCGTCTGTTGGCACATATTTTAATACAAATATTTGAAATAGATTATCCCACCACTCACCTTAGCTAAGGAACCAGGCTCAAAACCGGCCTGAAATAGTTCCGCTTGCAGGTATAGACGCTGTTGTAGATTTTCAGAGCTCTCCAAGAAGGAATTTATGAATCTGTGGAAGAAAATTCAGGCACATAACACGAAAAAGCAACAGCAAGAAAAAACAACAAATGAAAGGGGGCGACGCTTATTGGCTCCAATTCACTTCCTGTCAACACTCACTTGACTCCCACTGCCTGCAATTCTCCCGAACCACCACCACTATTCAGCATGCCCACCAACAGTCGAAAACGTACTGGCTCACTGCAGCGCAATCGTAGCGTCGACATTGCTTCCGAAACGGCTGTATGCCCGGCTGTGACTGATTTTTGTGAGCCATGCCCCAGCGCCGTTTTATCACAAGCGGCAGCCATTAGTTGCATGGCCAGAATGCGTGCGCGTATACCCTGGCCTGTCGCCGAGGAGGCCAGCGGCATTAAGCCTACCGGCGTTGTACCCAAGCGGGCGGTAGCGTCCAGCGAGCGTGAACAGCAAATGCTGAGGCATTGACTGGTAGTGTAGAAAATGAAAACGGTTAATAAAATTAAGATTAAATGTAAAAAGTAAACTAAGTATTCACTTACAGGCAAGCCAATTCATCAAGCAATGCGCGCCGTTGATAGGATTGCGGATTTCGAGGCATTGAGGCGGTCATTTGGTTCGGCGCCAGCGGAGTATTGCTACTTTGAGATAGCTGAATGGCGCGCAGCACTTCAAGTAGCAGGCTTATGCCGTCCGAGGGGGTGGCGACGAACTCTTGAACGAAACTGGAGTGAAGGGAAAATATAGGAAAAATTCAGTAACGAGGAGTATAAAATGTTATTTATTAATTATTGTAAATTTATGTAGGTCAAGTAAGTTATAAAATTTGTAAAGATAAGAAAAAAAGTTAAGAAGCAACCACAGCTCAGTTAGACCTAAGAAAGGGGGTTGGGTTTGGAGAACTACTTTAGCCACAATGAGACAATCTCTCACAAAGCTTAAATATATAGCTTGTGTATGTGTACTGGAGTTAATTCTCGACCTCGAGCCACTACATATTACCATAGAGCAGGCAGCCAAGTGTACTCTCTTAAGTTTCGGAAGAGAAGGCGATGAAAAGGGAAAAGTGTTATTATCTAGGATCATGGAAAAAGTAGTATCCCAGCACAAAGTAGGTTTTATTGCCCAAAAGATAGTATGAGCAAGGTATTTGTTTTCGAGAAAAAGTTTAAAATAGAGTCCCGCAGCAAAGCAATGTTTATTTAGTAACTCCATTATGGAGAGATATATCCAAAACCCCAGAGGGCAGTGGTAACGGCAGCTATGGTCCCAGGATGAGACTATCTGTATATATGTTGAGATTCCTGAAGGTTTTCCAAACGGAGGTCTGCGCCATCCTTTAAGGTTAAATCACCTCTAGTCCTTGGGTGCGTGGAGAAACTTAACGCCGTTGCTTAACACAATGACATTTATGCAGTTAACTTGGGTAGTATGCAGTCCACAAGGGAAACGAGGTAGCGGACGGCTTAGCCATTCCTTGTAGTAGTCCCAAGCATGATCGGGTAAGAGGTCAGTAAAGCGACAATAGAAATTACAGGAAAACACTGGCGAAGCACCAAGTCAAAAACTTACAGAGGTGTGAAACCTGAAAAGGAACAGACTAATTCACCACCTAAAAGAAAAATTGAGAATTATCTCAGACCTCTTAAAGGTCGCTGCAGGCGAAGAGCCCATCTACACCAGTAAGGGATCCGGTAAAATTATCTCGGTTGATTTTGCGACTTAGCTAAAAAGACGCCATTGCAAATGCTGCTTGTGTGTGGGGCTGTTTCAGGACAATGTGGGAAGTGTTAAGGCTCAATGTGGCCAAAGGATGAGCACATATTGACGGCTGAGTGGAAGATCAACCTATATCTGGACAGCCAGTCAGAAAACTTTTCAAGAACGCCCTATTTCAGAACATGATTGAAAAACGCCTTATCTCAGAATTTGTTTCAAAAACGGCCTATCTCAGCTTAAAATATGTTGAGATAATGCGTTTTTGAATCGGCAGCTAATGTAGGGCATTTTTGAAACAAATTTTAATTAAGTTTACTTTATTTTATAACATTTTATCAGCTTTAATATTTTCTCAAAAATTCTTTAAGAAATTAATCATATTTATGTTAAGCTTTTGTTTATACTTACCTTGGAAATGAGACTCGCAGATCCGCACGCAACTTCGTTAGCAAGTCGGTTACTGAAGCGAATTGACGTAAGGACATCTCGCCGTCACTTTCTGGCGCCGGCGGTATGGGACTCCTAAAAAATTAAAAAATTTGAATTTTAAAATTTGAAAATTGATTAGTTTATATTTTTATTAGCGCTGATGACTTGGTCCGGGTACTTTATTTAACGGCAAAGCCCGGTACTTCATTTCCCAAGTACCCGGGAATTTTACTACCCAGATAGACTGAGAATGGCCGGATACCCGGACAGTCTGAAAATGACCGAATTTAATCGTGCAACCGGGTATCATTAGCATTAATTTATGCTCTAATTTCCTAATGCAAAATTTAAATAAAACTTTTGCACTGAAATTAAAATTTTTTAATCTTGAAATAAAAATAAAAAACAAAAATGTTGAATCTTAAAAATAGTGACGAGAAAAAACTTCTTTCTTTCAAATTTTTTTTTTGTATTTACTATAATTTTTCTGCTATGTTTTTATGTATGTATGTATTTACTTGTATTCCGCATGCTTGTGCGGTAATGTCGAGGATTTGTGATTGTTTTCGTCCTTATGGCTGCCATTTGTTGTTGTTGTTTCATTATTATTTTCATATATAGAGCGCACATTTTGGCCACTCTGACGTTTACCGAATTTTTTCAATGACTGTACGTAGTCTTCAGCATTGTAGACAGGTGGGCGCTGATTTTCCTGAAAAGAAAAAATCATTTAAAGAATTAATCAAAATAGTCCTTGGAATATAACACAAAAATGTAAACATAAAAATAGCAAAAGAAGTGGGAAAATATCAATGATACTATATATATCGATGATTTGTGCTTTCCAAAAATATTAGCGAAGTTTAAAGCTAATAGCACTATGGATCGCAATGTATGATCAATATGTAAATTGCCTCTCGCGAAGACGCATTATAAATAAATAATGAATGAAACGATGAGTAACTCTTAAATTACGATTTGAAAATCACAAAAATTTTTGAATGCAAGTACATAAAAGTATAAATACAGGTTATAGTAAAATCAAATTAATAAAACTATATCTTTTAAAATAATTTTTTTCTTCTAAATTAAATATGATCGATAGTATCGATAATCTTCATCAATATTATCGGAAAATATCGATGGTCAATACTATCGATAGTTTTCTACCTCTAAACAGTTGATATTAAAATGCATATAAAAATCAAAAAAAAATAAAAATAATAATAAAAATTTATAAAAAAAAAATGTATAAATAGTAATAATAATAATAATAGATTGGCGCTTACACATATGTTAGTGTTTGGGCGAGCTTCTCTTTAGTAATATATATTATACATAATATAACATATGTTATACAAAAAAAGAGCAAATACATGTGAGAAAAGCAAAGTCGGAATTTCAATGCCTAGGATTATTTCTTATGGGTCTCCATTGTATATTTTGGGAGTTTTGGTTGACCTATATGAAAAAATGGTTAAATAAACAGAGTTTGCCGATTCAAAAATATAGCTTTTTAAGGAGTCTATACCATTTCTACGAAAAATTGTTTTTCCCCGAATAAAAGACATGGGAAACTTTGAGCGCTTAAATTTTTTGTTTTTGTTTTTATGTGACACATACGACAAATTCCCATACAAATGTAATATTTTTCTAATCGTAAAACATTTGTCGTATGTATCGCAAAACTTTGAACTTACGACAATTCGATGGTGCTCTACTATAACGACACAATTAAAATTGGAAATTAAACTAACTAATTTTAAAATTTTAAATTTTTAAATTTTAGCTTCCACGGAGTCTCCAATAAAATGAAAAAAATAATAAAAGTGTACAAAAGACTGAATTTAAGTATTGTTTTTTGTTTTTATATAAAGAAAACGGATGTTCGTCACATATTTACAGCATAAGAGATGTACAGATTTTTTTGATTAAATACATGAATATGTTTTTGTTATGTTTTTTCTAATGAGTAATCATTGTTTATTAAATATGTCTGGGTTTTTCATCAAATTATAGCATCGTCGTTGAAATATATACTTTAGTATTGTCGTATGTTCTATGGACAAAACAAAGTGGTGGGTAAACGCTACTTACGACAAATGTATACGGAATGAAAAGTCAATTTTCTCATTAACGTTAAGAGATATTAAATGTAAAATATGGAAAATCAAAACTAATAACACCAACAACGTCTCCTTCAAGAATTACAAAATTCGACCGTACAGTTTCGGATTAATTCGGCCTTAAACTTCAAAGTCAATTTTCTCAAAACCGTGTTTTGTAACATTCGACATAAGTTTTCTGAGACATAAGCCCTGTTCGCGCACGCACTATCCAGTAAATCCAGTACTAATTTTACTGGTTTTTTACTGGATGTCGTTTTCGTACGCAAAAACTTGCAAGAAACTAGCAAAAGAGGGGAAATTGAGAGAGCAAAAATGACAGCTGAACTTGCAAGTTTTACTGGATTTTTACTGGATAAATTTTTACTAGCAACTACTTGCTAGTAAGAAAAACAGCCGATGGCATGATGCTTAATGTAATTCACATTAACAAAATAATTGTTTGTGGTGCCTTTATAGTTGCAATTGACAAAATAAACCCATTTAAATATATAATAAGATGGAAAATACTAGTTTTCTAAGAAAATTGCCTAGGAAAATAACAAATAAATCAGCTGTTCATAAAACTAGCAACTTCTTGCCAGTTTTGCGTTTTCGTACTTTCTTGCATATTTCACTCATTGGGAGTAAATATTGACTTACTCTCCGAAATTTGGTTACTGGCAAGTTACTGGATATTTTTTGCTGGAGAATACGAAAACACAGCTATATATGTACAAACAATTTGGCCGCTCGCATGAACAGTCCTCAGTAAATTCTGTAATGTTAACTTTACAACATATGTATGTCCCAGTGGTGAACTGTTAAAGGTGTGGTAAGTTGAGCGGAGGTAAGTTGAAAGAGTCGTTTCGTGGTACATATAATGAAATGGTGAGATTATATTAAATAATGCACGAAACTAAATGGAGGTGAAAACAGGCTTTTGGCAGACGGCAACCAACGTCCTCGATAGTATAGTGGTTAGTATCCCCGCCTGTCACGCGGGAGACCGGGGTTCAATTCCCCGTCGGGGAGACGGGGATTTTTTTTTTTTTTTTCTTGATACAATTTTTATTTTATTCATTTATTTACACATTACAGCTGTTATTCACAAATTATTGCTATTAAACTGATTTATAAATACACAAGATTTGGAATAATTACTACTTCAATATAAATACGTATGTATGTACATACATACATGCATACTAACTAACTTTCTCGGTAGTCAGCGAGAATTTTCGTCTTCACAATTTGGGCAAATTCGCTATATATCCAATTTTCTTACATCTTACTGGAAATATTGGATACGATAAATATTATAAATCTATTAAATGTGCTTTTTTTGGATCGAATTTGGCAAATACGCTTGAAGTTGTTCCGGACACACTTTTATTAGGCACACTACAAATCACTTTTGAATATGTTAAAGTTTTATTTTCTGACTGAAAGTTTTATTTCATTGAATTCTAAATATGGAAACTATTCCATAATTTGGATGCCTCCTCGCTCTTTTTCTTTATCGAATTTGAAATGTATTTTCGTCTTCGTAAAAATAGGCATTGGGATTTTGTGAACCTGCTGTTCAAAAACAAGTTCGTGTTACCATGTATTCGCTGTAGTTCATAATACATTTTATTACTTTATAATTATTTCCTGCGCACACTGGGCCCAGAGCCTTGCTTTCGCGGCAAAAGTCTAAAAACACTAAAAACGAAAAAAATTCAAATCCGCTGATGCCGAATTTGATATCGAAAATAAAAAAAAATCTGATGGGCTGAAATTTTAAAAAGTTTGGACTTTCGTAAAAGTTTACATATTGGGGTTTTCAATATCGCTGATTTCGAATATGATATTGGAATTTAAAAAAGTAAAATGACGGTTCCAAGATGACTAACGCTCGTAGCTTTTTCGGACAAAAAAATTAATATTGCTCCGAAAAAACTCCGTTTCGCAGTATCTCCTTAAAAAAAAAAACTTTTTTAAAGTACGAAGATTATTTCCTTTTTGGTTGTTGTTGTTTCCGACGGGGTGGGTGTATGATGTATTTTGGAATGAATTTCCGTCATCCCTTGTCAAATTTGGTTTGGAGACAAACCGGTTTCGGCGTTTTGCCATTTTCAGAGAACGAAAAATGACACTGAAGATGGCACAACGCCGAAACCGGTTTGTCTCCAAACCAAATTTGACAAGGGATGACGGAAATTCGTTCCAAAATACATCATACGAAGATTACTTATTTTTCGAAACACTCCGCGACAAAATGATACTGTCTAACAAAATGGATGTAAATCTTATTTTTTAATTTGGTACAAAAATTAGAAAAATTCAACAAGGCTGCATAACGACCATTTTTAGTTTGAACTTTATACAAAATATATTTTTTTGATTGCATGCATACATTTTTTTTTAATATTGCACAAAGTTGAAAACCTTGATTTACATGGGTTTTGCTAAATAATTAACTATAGTTTTATAAAAAATAATCAAAATTAAATAACAATACAAATAATACGTTAAACCTTGGCAAAAAGAACTTGGCAGAGCATAGGTCACTAAAATGAAAATTAAAAACATATTAAAATTGATTGGTAAAACCTAATCTAATTAAAATGACGTAAATAATTTTTCGGAAAAAATGTGAAAAAATTAAATTTTTGCCCACCAAAGCAGGTCAGTTGGCCCATTGTACTGTAATGAGTAGCACAAAAATATGACTACATCGCTTGGCAGATAGACCTCAATAGTCCCGTATTGTCTAGTGGTTAGGATATCCGGCTCTCACCCGGAAGGCCCGGGTTCGATTCCCGGTACGGGAAGGTTTTATTTTAATAAAATTTTAACCATAGACTATAAATTTTTACAAACTTTGTATAAATTGTTTAGTTGTACAACATTGTTAAAAAAACTATGTATATGTATGTACATACATACATATCGCGCCCTAACCGAAATGCATCTGTTTCTGCATCAAAAAGAAAATTTTGGAAAATATGTCGCTTACATCTTTTTGGAGGTCACGGCTTGATATATACATTCAATTGCATTAATTGCAAATGATTTATTTTCTGGATGGAGACGAGCACATTCCATGGTTTAAACACCTAAATTAAGCACACAGCCTTAAATTGGAAAGCGGTCCTCGCGAGTAATTGTATTTGGAGCAAACTGGGGAAATATAAGGCTCTAACAGAGACACCTCTTTTTAAATAAGTATGTAATTTTTTCACAGAAGAACTTTTTTACATATCAAATTACGTATGTATTGAAATACTAATATAATGAATTTCAAAGAAACAGCAATCCTCTATGTGGCTATTAATATACATATACAGTTGTCCACAAAATAATAGGAGTGGGATATTTTAACCTGTTTTGGCTATTTGTCTTTAGTTTATTTAATGTTTCGTATTTTTTTGTAAAAGCCTAGCTGGTAATACAACAAACACCATATAAATTTACATTTTCAAGTTTGTACAAAAATTATAAAAATTCTGCAAAATTTTCACCAAAATTTCAAACTATTTAACCAGAATCTTTAGAAAATATTTTGGTATGCAGTTTTGTAGCCCATTCAATTCTAGTCTGAAGAAGTGCAAGTTTCAAGCTGCTAAAAAATTCCGTTGATTTTTGAGAATTTTTTCGGTTGAAGGTGTTTCACGTTTTTTCCATACAAAGTATGTTCGACAATTTTCTTTTATATGGGGACAGTGCCAGCTCTCTTACGGAACTATCACGCGTAGGAATAAAACCGATTCTACGCTTTATAAGAGCCTCAAATTGGTTCTCTGAAGAATAGTCACCGAGGTTCCCGTGTTCTGCAGTGGTATCACAATGGACCTTCAAAAGGTCTAAGTGAGTTGGTAAATTGAACCGACTGCCACATCAACCTAACCTAACCTAAAACTGCATACCGGAATTTTCTCTGAAGATTCTGATTAAAAAGTTTGATATTTTGGTGAAAATTTACAGAATTTTAATAATTTTTGTACAAAGGTTGAAATCTGAATTTATTCGTTGTTTGTTGTATACCCAGCTTGACTTTTGTATAAAAATAATAAACATTAAATAAACAAAAGACAAATAGCAAAAACTGACCAAAATAACGCACTCCTATTATTTTGTGGACCACTGTACATATAGTTCAAACAAATGTATCTTTTTAAACACATACAATTTTAAATATATAATTAAAAAAAAGCATTTGTTGCGGCTCGGTTATAAAAAAATACATATTCCCGTACCGGGAATCGAACCCGGGCCTTCCGGGTGAGAGCCGGATATCCTAACCACTAGACAATACGGGACTGTTGGCAATGGGTAGCTAAAAGTGTAATATAACAGCCACTACACTGCAAGATGCCGACCAATATATTTGGTTTACATTACGGCACAATGTACTACCAGAGCATGTTAATGTAATTAAATTAACATTCTCTGGTACTACTAAAGGGAAGGGAACTGTTAAATCCGTTGCAAAGCAGCAAATGCAATGTGGCTTGGATACAGCTGTTAACTTTACTGCTAAAATAAAATACCACAATGCGCTGTTAGTTGAGTGCTATTTACACCACATTTTTATGCTGCGAGTTAAATTAATGTTAATGGCTTAACATTCACTAGTAGCACTTTTAACTACCTGAATTAATAGCATTTAATTTACTGCGCGGATTGATGGAAAGTGAAACTTATGTATACAACTTAAAATATCCTTGAATTGCTTACGCACCTTATTGAAAACAGGTTGCGACCAGCTATTCTCCGAACTTGACATCTTATACGAAGCCATGGAGCCGTTAATACTGCTGCCACCGCAATTGCTCTTTTGTGTGATGGATGGTGCAGAGATGGTGGTAACACCGGCACCATCAGCGCCAGCAACAGCACCGCCTATGGTCGTGGTCACCGTTGCAACATGCGTAGAGGCTGCAGTTAATTTTGGCGAATTTTGACAAACACTTGGCGCCATCGGATAGTTGTTTATGTGGCGTTGTTGACGTTGATGCGAATGATGATTTTTATGCTGTGTTGGCAACTGTTGCTGCTGCTGCTGGTGAAGCTGCCGAATGGTGGGCGCGTAGCGGTGCTGATAATAGGCGGAGATGTCACTGCAAGGAGAAATAGCAAATAGAAAATGATTATTTATTATTAATGAAGTGAATATTAAAAAATTAAAAAAAGGCAAAAAAATAAATAAAAATTTTCATCAATTGCAAGTAACATTGAAGGCTGGAGTATGCAAGTATCGACAATGCATTGCTTAACTGCCAGCCGGCTAATGAAGTTGAAGCTTTAATTGAGTACTGCGCAGGCGCAGCGAGAGTACCGATTAGACAACTAATTTGACTGCCGCTTTTCACTTAAGGCATTTTTACATTTGATTTATACCTAGGGATGGGTATGCGCATGCACTTTGCCGACTCCAGCAGTTGATTAATGTTGTGGGCTTGGAAGAATTTCTTTCTTTCAGCAACTATTTGCACTCCTAACTAGCCTTCAGACTTTGACGACCCTGACGACTGCGTCGTTATCCTGCACACACATACATACATACACAAAAATTTTGTACCACGTCTTCTTTTCCACTGATTGTGATTGAGTTGTTGCTGTCGTCAGCTTTTCGCCGCCAACTTTGAAATTTTAAAGCGTTATTATATTAAACGTTACAGTCGCCGCTAAACGTGTTTTACTACGGCGTAGTCCATGACTTTTTTGTATTTACAAGTATGCATTTGAATGTAGGTAATTTATGTTCTTCGTTATTTACTTTTAATTTTGCTGATAGCCCACACGCGCAGCGCTTGTTGCTTAGGTGGAGGAAAATCGCCATAAAAATGACACTAAATGGACAGCAGAAAAATACGTTATTTGTCTCTGTAATTTTTCACTCACTTGTCAGATGTGTTGGGCGTAATTGTGGAGTTAATTAAATTATGCGATGGGTGTGAAATATGAAATGCCGGGCGTTACTTATGTAGATAGAAAAAATAAATTAAAATATTTTTTGGTCTGAAAGATTTGATAAGTGAAATTTTAAACGGGGGATGAAGTTTAGTTGAGAAAATTTTTTTGAGTGTTTTTCATGAATTTCATCATATTTGCGCCTTTTGACGTAACCCCATATACTGATGATGGTCTTTTTAAGGCGTTTTTGAGGTAAGGTTTGTATGGGAGGTATGCTTTAAAGTAAATCGATCACAGCAATTTTTCCGTTTTTTTTTTTATTATGCCCATAAATGTTCCATAAGAAAAATTTAGGTTCTACGCCGACTGCTATTTTTTTCCAATAAATGTATGGGGCTGTACCACTGTGCGACGTGACACTAATCGTCAGCGGAAAGTTTTTCGACACACCTTCATTTAGAAGTTGTATTAAAATTTATAGCTGTGTCTAAAGTAAAGCATGTTATTATCGGTTTTAAATGAAACTGATAAAAGAATTGCTTTAATTGGACATAATGCAACCTTTAAATAAAAAGTGAGCTTTAAAGTAAGAGGTTACTTGAGAAAATGGCCCTTAGTATACTAAACTTGAATAGGCTTCAAAAGTATTAGGATTTTTCTTAAAGATTTTTAGAAAAAAGTGAGAAATTTTTTTGATATGTAATTTGTTTAATTTTTTTCAAACTTTCTACAAAGTTTCAAACTCGCGTTTACATAAATATTTTAGAGAATGTGAACTGTTTTTTTAATTGAAAAATAATGGAAATTAACAGGCCTATTCTGCACGTTTCCGAAGATTTTGTAACCAGAAAATATTACCAGTGTTTGTCACCGCGATTCTGGGAACGTTGGTAATGCAGTTAATATATTCAGCAATTCATGAAGAATTGTGGAAAATCTGGCATTGCATATTTTACGAGACAATGTTTTGTTACCGGCTTATGAGTTGCAGAATAGACCTGTAAAAGTTAAAAAAAAATACACAGGAAAACAAGAAAAAGCATTATTCAAGTGCATAGGAGTGAATTAAAAAAACTAATAATATATTTATTACAAAAAAATATGTACCTCCCCGGCGGGGAATCGAACCCCGGTCTCCCGCGTGACAGGCGGGGATACTGACCACTATACTACCGAGGACTGTTAAGAACGCCGCTTTTAAAGCAGTACTAAAGCAGAATGAGTTAACTATGTTTTGTTAACAGTAGGACCTTATGTGAATCATAACATATGTAAAGGATGTGAAGGATAACAGATGAAATTTATGTTAACGCTCTTTAACGAAAAGAGGTATAAATACGGTGACCATTCGTACGATTTTGACGGGATAGTACCGTTTTTGAGAATATTGTACCGCTGAATATTTTTTAAAAGTGTCCCGATTTTTCATATTTGTACCGATTAAGTCCCGAATTTCAGTGTTTTCTTTATTCATTTATTAAGAATCTCCCTATACAAACGAGGCAGCACTTTCGTTATCACAAAGGACATAGCATATAAGTGAGCCATAAACATAGCCAGCATCCTTATTAACAAAATAATAATATAATTAATGAAATTATTAAAAAATAATACTAATACCATCAAAAAATCGTGGATATGAAAAACATAAGTTTTAGATAGAGTGGCGAAAATTAAAAAATAATACTAATACCATCAAAAAATCGTGGATATGAAAAACATAAGTTTTAGATAGAGTGGCGAAAATATAATTAGGGAGAGACATTTTAGCTTTCTTTGGCTATTCTCTTTCGATTATTTATTGTTTATTCCTTTTTATGAAAGTGTGGCTCGTTATATAAGAAATACCATGTTAGTCAGAATTTGAAACTTTGTACAAAAATTAGCAAACTTTGACAAAGTTTCATCAAAATTTTGAGCTTTTTAATTAGATTTCTTAGAAACATTCCGAGTATGCAGGTTTGTAACTTATTCAATTCAAAGCGAAAATTTCAAGTAGTTAAGATTTACAAAATTTTTGAACATACTGTGTATGGAAGAAAATGAAATGAAACAAGTAAGAAAGGCTAAGTTCGGGCGGAGCCGAACATTAAATACCCGGCGCAAGTATTAAATATATGTTTTTTCACCCTTCCGAAACCTTCCGCTAGATGGTAAGCCGAGTTGTAACAATTTTGAGTAAATTAGCGTCCTTCAATTTCGAAATATTGAAGTTTCAAGCAATTCTTAAATTTACCGTTATATGAGAATCGGCCGTTATATTAGTCCGATTTCAATAATTTTCAACGTTTTGCTTACACGTGGCAAGTACAATAACCATACCGAGTTTGGTACAAATTGGTAGAACGGTTACCGGTATACTTATATGTGATCATAAGTGGGCGGTGCCACTCCCATTTTCCAAAATTTTACCATAAACGCATTTCTTGGTAAAGAATTGTTGCAACCATCAATTTTGAAAAAATGAGCTTCAATATTTAATGATTTATCGAAGATTTTGTATTTCTCTAAATTACCGTTATATGGGATGTGGGCGTGGTTATTGTCCGATTTTAAAAAGTTTCGGCGGTTTTTTATGCTGTACCAAGGCCAACAACTGTGCCAAGTTTGGAAGAAATTGGTGTAGCGGTTACCAAGATATACACATGTAACCATAAGTGGGCGTGGCTACGCCCATTTTCCAAGAATTTATAATATTCTTATTTTTCGTCTAAAACTTATTATAAATATCAATTTTGAGTGAATAATCTCCAGTAGTTACTAAAATATTGCAGTTTTCATATTTCTGAAAATTACCGTTATATGGGAAATAGGCGTGGTTATTGAGCGATTTTAAAAATTTTCGGCCATTTGGTATGTTATGCGAAGGCCAACAACTGTGCCAAGTTTGGAAGAAATTGGGGCAGCGGTTACCAAGATATGCACATGTAACCATAAGTGGGCGTGGCTACGCCCATTTTCCAAAAATTTATAATATTCTTATTTTTCGTCTAAAAATTATTGTAAATATCAATTTTGAGTGAATTATCTTCAGTAGTTACTAAAATATCGCAGTTTTCGTATTTCTGGAAATTACCGTTATATGGGAAGTGGGCGTGGTTAAAGTCCGATTTCGCCCATTTTCAATACCAACCTACCTTGGATTAAGGGAAACCTACATACCAAATTTCGTTGAGATATCTCAATTTTTGCTCGAGTTATCGTGTACACGGACAGACGGACAGACGGACAGACGGACAGACGGACAGACGGACGGACAGACAGACATGGCTTAATCGATTTCTTTTTTCATCCTGATCATTTATGTATACATTTGTCTATATCTATCTCGATTCGTTTTGGCTGTTACAAACAACCGTTATGTGAACAAAATTAATATACCCTTGTGCACAAGTGCGCTCGGGTATAAAAATTCCCAAAAACCAATGATAAGTCCAAACTTCTTCCAAATTGCACTTTATATTCTACAAAATCTGATTAAAATGTTTCAAATTGTGATAAACATTTACTCAAATCCCTACAAATTTTGAAATTTTGATTTACATGTTTTTTTTTTTTTTTAGATAGTAGGTTATATTTTCATACAAATATAATAAACATTTTTAAATTATTTTTCTCTTTGTTTTGTTTTAAGTAAAACTGTATTAAGCCTTTTTATTCTAAAAACAAAATTGTATGTTCGGATTCGATGCAGAAATCTGCTCGCCGTAGGTATAAATGAGGAGTCACACAAAACAAGAAGCTTTTTTGTAACAATTACAATACAACAATAAATTAACATTTTAATTATAAAATTAAAAAAATCCTACTAGTAGCCTTTGAATATTTCATATCCTGAACTACTAAAATTTATTTGGATGGGGCTTCCACTTTTTAACTTCCTACTTGCAGTGATTTCGCCTAATATTATCCGTAATAAATGGTTTGTCAAATATTTTTATCCAAATAATAACAATTTGTACAACAACTTTAATTTGACGTTAAATCAATGCAATTAGCATAGGCTCGGGCACGCACGCTGGTTGTATTTAATCGCACAAAAACCACGTGGAACTGTCTAAAGCTTTGCGTTGAGTACAGGCGTGACAGCGGCAACTTTTAATGCAATTAAGAAATGAAAAGCAAAAAGGAATGCAGAAATAAAACAAAAATTAGGCAAAAAATTTTCCTCAACAGTGGTTTTCGTTGCGCCTGCGCAGCGGTTTTCAAGTT